AGGATGTGGGTCCCATCACAAAGTGTGGGTGCTACGGTGGTCTTGAGGGTCTTCATGGACCCATGGGGCTCACCTGGGACCCGTGAGGTCCCTATGGGTCTGTCACAAGCCATGGGGGACTTGAGGGTCTTCAAGGAACCATGGGGCTGACCTGGGACCCGTGAGGTTCCCAAAGGTCCATCACAAACCATGGGTGCTATGGGGGACTTGAGGGTCTTCATGGACCCACGGGGCTGACCTGGGACTTTTGAGGTCCCCATGGGTCCAACACAACCCGGGGCTGCCACATGGGTGCTGGTTGTCCCTACAGGTCCATGGGTATCTACTGCTTCCCTGGAGGTCCCCGTGGCTCTAAGGCCACCACAGGAGCTCCAGGAGGTCCCCATGGGTGCCACGCAACTCCCAGGGTTCCCCAGGGTGCTGAGGACCTTCCCCCAACCCCAGGTTTGCCTCTCGCTGACGGCCAAGCGGCTGGCGAGGAAGAACTGCGTGGTGAAGAACCTGGAAGCGGTGGAGACGTTGGGGTCCACCTCGGTCATCTGCTCCGACAAGACAGGGACCCTCACCCAGAACCGGATGACGGTGGCGCACCTCTGGTTCGACAACCAGATCCACACGGCCGACACCACCGAGGACCAATCGGGTGAGCCGGATGCCTGAGGTCCCTCCCCTTCCGTATGACCCGGACCCAAGCATCTAAGGGAGACCCAAAGCATCCAGGAGGAACCTTGAGGTTCATGAAGAACCCAAGTGTCCAAGGGGGACCCAAGCGTCCAGGAGGAACCTTGAGGTTCATGAAGAACCCAAGTGTCCAAGGGGGACCCAAGCGTCCAGGAGGAACCTTGATGCTCATGAGGGACCCAAGCGTCCCAGGGGGACCCAAGAGTCCAGGAGGAACCTTGAGGTTCATGAGGGACCCAAGGTTCCCCGAGGTGACCCTCCCCCATCCCTATGTCCCACCACCCCAGGTCAGAGCTTCGACCAATCATCGGAGACGTGGACCATGCTGAGCCGCGTCGTCACCCTCTGCAACAGGGCCCAGTTCAAGCCGGGCCAAGACAACGTCCCTGTGGCCAAGGTGGGACACTTCGGGGGCCACCGGCCCTACATGGGGCTGGGAGGTCCATGGGGACCACAGATGGGGCTGGAAGTGTCATATAGGGACCAGGAGACCTACAGGAGCCCCATATGGGGCTGGGAGGTCCTTAGGGACCACAGATGGTGCTGGGAGAGGTATCTGTGGGCCAGGAGCTCCCCCACGGGGGACTTCTACGGGGCCGTGAGCCCCACCCGCTTAAGCCCCGCCCCTGCAGCGTGAGGTCATCGGCGACGCTTCGGAGACGGCGCTGCTGAAGTTCGCGGAGGTGACAGTGGGGTCGGTGGCGGAGGCGCGGGGACGGTTCCCCAAGGTGGCCGAGCTGCCCTTCAACTCCACCAACAAGTTCCAGGTGAGGGGACCCAGGCGTCCGGGTGGGACCTGGGTGTCCAGGAGGGACCTTGATGTTCTTGAGGGACCGAAGCGTCCAAGGGGGACCTTGATGTTCTTGACGGACCCAAGCGTCCAAGGGGGACCTGGGTGTCCGAGAGGGAACTTGATGCTCCATGAAGGACCCAAGCATCCAAGGGGGACTCAAGCATCCGGGAGGGACCTTCAGGTTCTTGAGGGACCCAAGCTTCTAAGGGGGACTCAAGTGTCCAGGAAAGACCTTGATGCTCCATGAAGGAACCAAGCATCCAAGGGGGACCCAAGCGTCCGGGAGGAACCTTGAGGTTCTTGAGGGACTTAAGTGTCCAAGGGGGACCACGCAATCTGGGAGGGAAACCAGGCATCTGGGTGGGGATCCATGTGTCCATGAGGCTCCTTGATGCTCATGAGGAACCCAAGTGCCCAAGGGGGACCCAGGTATCTGCAGGGCACCCAAGCTACTGAGAAACACCCAGATGTCTAGGGTGGACCCAGACATCTGGGAAGGACCCAGTTGTCCGGGGAGGGACGCGGGGGTTCAGGTGGGAACCCAGGCATCCATGTTCCTCAACAGCTCTCGGTCCACGAGGCGGGAGAACGGCAGCTCCTGGTACTGAAAGGTGCCCCCGAGCGGGTGCTGGAACGGTGCAGCACGGTGCTGCTGAAGGGACAGGAGCTGGCCCTGGACGCCCAATGGCGGGAGGCCTTCGAGGGGGCCTACGCCGAGCTGGGGGGGCGTGGGGAGAGGGTGTTG